GATACAAATGAGTACTGGCAATAGTTTGTTGGTTTGTTTGTTTGTTTGTTTGTTTGTTTGTTTGTTTGTTTACACACAGTCTGCTTCTATCTTAGCTGGGCTGCTGGACATGTCATGATCTGACATCAGTTACTATTTATTAGATTGGCTCACTGGCTGGGTTATGTCACACAGATTAGATTAACTTCATATTTTTAGCGACTGTAATGTTTTTGTTTTGTTTTTTCACATGGAGTTAAACTCAACGAGAGGAAGCTAACGTTCACAGTTAGCTTACCATTCTGTCATCCTTTTCTCTTGTTTTAAGCGTCATACTRCTGGATAGTCCAGTACAGCCTTCAGTACCTTTCCTTCGGGTTTGGTATCGTCCATTATTATTGTTGTGCCGCAAATAAAACTAAATAAGACTCGCGCATTTGTGGTCCCACCCACATTATTGAAACGGCTTTCTGCTGCTCAGTTCAACTGGGCAGGGGTAGAGCAGCAGCGCGCTCTGCTGGATGAAGTCAAAACTACACTGAAATAAGGTTTAAAACGTTAAAAAATGTTTTAAAAACATTTTCAATTAATAGAATGGAAGAAACTTTAATCTAATAAACTATTAATCGACAATTAATCGTAAATCGATAAATTGTTTGCATCCCTAGCCTGAACTCAACTGATATCACTTAGTCAGCAACAGTTCTGTACATGTAAGATGCAGTTGTTGTCTTCCAGTTCTGGTTGGAACAACATAGTTTCTGTTATCAGTAAGCACAATGCTTCTGTCTGCTGTAGACTAGCTCTGATTCTGTAAGCTTTAACACCAAAAACAATATTTTATTATATTTTTCAGGCAAGAGTGCCGCCCTCTAACGACTTTAAGGTGGGAATGAAGCTTGAAGCTCACGACCCTCGCAACTCCACATCCGTTTGCATCGCCACAGTGATGGGTTTAACTGGGGTTCGTCTGCGCCTCCGTCTGGATGGAAGTGACAACAGCAATGACTTCTGGCGACTGGTCGACTCCATGGACATCCAACCCATCGGCACATGTGAGAAGAATGGAGATATGCTGCAGCCGCCGCTGGGTGAGAGAGGCAAAGCATTACTAATGTCGTAGATGTATACAGGGGGGATGTCTCATTTTTGCCTTAATATTCTCTCCTTCAGGGTTTCGAATGAATGCTTCCTCCTGGCCCATGTTTCTGCTACGAACCTTAAACGGAGCAGAGATGGCACCAGTATCAGCCTTTAAAAAGGTTTGCCTTACATCTACAGAGCTTTGTGATTTGAACCCAACAGTGTGATTTCTGTCAGAGGCTTTTGCTGTTTTATATATATATTATTTTTTATTTTTAGGAACCTCCAAGACCCCCCCTGAATAGTTTCAGCCCAGGCATGAAGCTGGAAGCGGTGGATAAGAAGAATCCCTACTTGATCTGCCCTGCCACTATCGGAGAAGTGAGGGGTGACGAGGTGTTCATCATGTTCGATGGGTGGCGGGGGGCTTTTGATTACTGGTGCAAGTATGACTCCAGGGACATCTTCCCAGTGGGCTGGTGTTCTCTCACTAARCACAGCCTCCAGCCTCCAGGCAACAGTGGTGAGTGCTGAACTCTAGGTGGCAGCAGATATGTACTTGATCCTCACTGAAGCAAACTGTTGTGTCTGAGGCAGACACTGCTGTTATTTGTGATCAGTGTTTGATTTATTCTCGTTAATTGAAGTGGAGCTCTTCTCCCCTCCTGCATCCAGAGAATTACTCCTACCAGAAAAGAAACATACAGGGGTTGGACAATGAAACTGAAACACCATTTTAGTGTGGGAGGTTTCATGGCTAAATTGGACCAGCCTGGTGACCAGTCTTCATTAAYTGCACATTGCACCAGTAAGAGCAGAGTGTGAATGTTCATTTAGCAGGGTAAGAACACAGTTCTGCTCAACATATTACAATGCATACGACWTTATGGGTGACATACTAGAGTTCAAAAGAGGACAAATTGTTGGTGCAAGTCTTGCTGGTGCATCTGTGACCAAGACAGCAAGTCTTTGTGATGTATCAAGAGCCACAGTATCCAGGGTAATGTCAGCATACCACCAAGAAGGACCAACCACATCCAACAGGATTAACTRTGGACACAAGAGGAAGCTGTCTGAAAGGGATGTTCTGGTCTAAAACCAGGTGTTTCAGTTTCATTATCTATAATCTATAATATGGCCAGGCAGAATGTAAAATYTAAACCTCTGTAATGTTATGGAGCAGTGAAGTTGAGGAAAAAATTACTAAATAAAAAAATCCAATAAATGTTATAAATTATCATGAAATAAAATCTGATTTTCAATCATTTAAAAATATAATTTACAATATAATTGTAAAAATGTTATTTAGGTTTGATTTTTTGTCTGTTTTTTTTCACCAACAGTTTTTTGAAAAGTAGCTTTTTCAGTGGGACTATAGCAGTGTTTAAAACATGTTAGGTAATAACATTCTTATGCTAAACATTGAATAAAACATCCTAAAAATAGATGTTTCATTACAAATCATTTGAAGCATTTTTGGTGGGTTTTCAGAGGGGGTCCCTGGCCAGAAGCTAATGCTGCTTAGGGGGCCATGGCATGCATAAGTTTGGGAACCCCTGATATATAGAATATAGAGAATTGTAAGAGTTTCATGTTATTTTCATCAGTTTTTTTTTWAAATTTAACTAAGCTAATCGAAAACAGCACAGCTCTTTGTTGGTTAAAAAAGAAAATGAAGTATTTTATTATTTCCTCACAGATCCTCCAGGTCGTTTTTGGTTTTATATTTTGGCGACCTTTCTCTTTGTCATAATTAGTAAAATATCATGTTCAGTGTTTGTATTTTTGTCCAGGCTTCATTTTCATTTGCTGCACTGATGCTGTCGTTCCAGTAACTCTTCCAAAGAACCTGCAGATTCTGCCGGCRTCGCCCTCCAAACCCAGCAGACGGTCCATCCAGCCTCCCTACAGACTCCTCAGCCCTCTGCCCACTCTGCCTGTCAGGAAGGGGGTAAGAGGCCGCCGGCCTAAGAGTGAGACCCTCGCTCTCCTCAAAGCAGTAGCAGAGGCAGCAGCTGCCCACAACGGGACAGAACCCAGCAACACGCAGCTCATTCCCCGGGTCCACAAGAAGAGGGGGCCCAAACCTGGAAGCAAGGTGAGCCATAGCTGGTCGAACTGCAGCTAACATTATCCAAATCTGTTTTACTAACGTGTATTTATTATTTTTACATTTTGCAGAGAAAGCCCAAACTTCTTCAAAGCCCCACACAGCTGCCAAGCATCCAGGTTCCACAAGAAAGCCCCCCCAGCCACAGCTCAGTGGTTTCAACAGGTAGTGATTAATGCTCCTTTGCTCCCTCATTAGCTGTGGGACACATGGTTAATGTGTTCAACGTGTTTGTTTGTGTCATCCTTCAGTGTGTGTGTATGTGAACAAGCATGGAAACTGTGGTCCCCACTTGGACAGGAAGCAGATGCAACATTTGCCTGACCACTTTGGCCCCGGGCCAGTGAACACTGTGCTCCAGCAAGTGGTTCAGTCTTGTATAAACTGTGCATATCAGCCCAAAGTGCTGCTCAATGCTCTGCAGAGCGATTCAGGAGGAGGAGAAACTGTCAGAGGTACAACCGGACTCCTACTTACTCCAACCTCTTATTGTTTTCATGAGCATGCAGGTCAGATATCTGAATGTTTAAAGTTTTTACAAGGATTCAGAGAACAATACATGATGTGTTTTCTCCCAGTGAGAACGAGCGGTGGTGTCCGTGTGATCAGACTACCGTCAGCCTCCAGTCCTTCCTTTGTGTTGCGTTTCTTGGAGACGATGTGTCGTCACCTTCAGTGTGACAACCTGTTCAGCAGCCAGCCGTTCTGCCACTACACCGCATATGACAGGAACAAGTCAGGTAATCTGCTTTCACTGCAGTGGGAGGATGTGAAACTCCACTGGTGCTGCACTGAAACCCAGACCCAACACTCATGGGTTTCCCTGCTGCCTCATGTCTGTGAGCTTCTCCCTCTTCTCTGTGTTCCAGTGAAAGAGGAAGCACTTGATGCTCCCTCTCTGGCCCGAGGCAGTAAACACGGCCTCTCAGGAGTCTCTCCACCACACGCAGCTCCTCTGTCTCCTAAACATTTATGTGTGGAGGCTCACCCATCAGAAGGTACACTGTACACCACTGTAAAAGTAATGTGTTCAAGCTGCTGGTGCACTTCATACAAAACACATATTACATGTTAGAAATGACAGAACAAAGCAGTGACTGTGGAATAAGAAGTTCTGTTGCTTCTGTTGTAGGGCTGCAACTACTAATCGATTAAATCGATAAAAATCGATTATTAAAAGCGTTGGTGGCAACGAATTTCATTATCGATTCGTTGTGTCACGGGATTTATGCGTCCCTCGTCGTGTCGCGGAGCCGATTACGTCACCTGCAGAGCGTTGTCAATGCTGGCTGACCTAAATAAAGTTTAGGAAGAAAGAAAAGAACTACCTGTAAAGAGCGGCCCTCTCTCTGATTCTCGAGTGAAAAGCAGAGACTTCGAACTTTAAACCAGTTTTTAAATCATGCTGTTAGGCCAAGTAGATCCAAAGATTTGATAAAAAGTATCTGCCACATTTATTTTTTTTTAGAAGACGGTCTGATTTGATGCGAGCTGCGTCTCGAGGAGGAAGTGCGTGCGGCGGAGGGAGGGAGACCTAAATCCACCGTTTCGTCCTCCTCTCGGGCTAAAAGTATAAAAACCCTCCAGTTTTTTCTGACTGAGGCCGGCCCAAAGTTATTTGTTGAGCAGCAAAACGGTTCAGGATGAAAGAAAAAAAAATACACGACTGAGCAGCAGGTCTGCAGGAAGAGGGGAGGAGGGGCAGGGGCTGCTTCAGAACCAGTTTTATTGGGTCAAACAATGTTTCAGTCAAACAGAACCAACAAGAATGAAACAAAAAGTAAAGAAT